AGTCACATGTGTAACACCTGCTTTTATCTCTGAGGGCCTGGAGATGATCCCACAAAATCTCCCTGAGGTTTCAGCTGATGCTGCAGAGACTAAGGCTGCTGAACAGTTTTGATTTTGGGTCTCAGTTCTGTGGTTTCCCTTTCAAAATCTTTCTCAGCTTCTTAGCCAAAGTAAATGTCAGTGCAGACAATTCCACACTATGGCAAGGTAAAGATATTTGCACCTTCAAAATGTTTTTTTCCAGGATAATTCATGACCTTTTCTATAAAGCACTGTTATTAGTAGAGTCCATAGTACAAAATTCTACACTACCTTTCTCTGTCCTTCCCCTTTGTATCGTCGACAAGGATGCCCCGAGTCAACACTTTCCTGCCCAAGCACCTGCTGGCTGCTTCTCATTCTGCAAGGAATTACACATGGGGGCTGTCTTTGCAAATCTTTACAATTCTGAACTTTTGGAAACATCCTGTGTGTCTTGCAAACTAGTGCAATAAAAAGAACACCAGCAATTTAATTTCTGGAAGAAAAAAAAAAGATTAAAATATAAAAAAGCCCAAATAGTGGCAACTGTATCAATACAGACAGATATAACATTCTCTTTTAAACACTTGTACTATGACATTAAAAGCTTCTTTAGAGGTACACATTACTAAACTGATATCTATCTTTAAAGTAATCATGCTTTCAGGTCATTCTCGGCAATAATATTCTTTAACATGGCTTTTAAATAAACTCCAGAAAAAGCTGGAGTGAATTTCAAGGCTTGAGTGCTGCTGCCATCTACATGGCAGGAAGACTATAAACCAAAACAAACAACAAAAATATGTATGTTACGTTTCCTGGGCAGAGCTGTAAGTCTGCAGCTCAGGGTGATTACAGAAAATAAAGTTCTGAAATGGAAGTTCTTATGAACCTGAGTTTTTTTATGGAAAATTCATAATGATTTAGGGTACAAATTCCCCAGGTCCTTATTATCAAAAAGATTACTCATAATTTAGATAAAAATTGACAATAAATAAGGAAAATATTACTATTTTACTAGTGTTGGATATTGTTAATATTTTTCTAATGAGTATTATGCTTTAAGATGCTAAAAAACCCCAAAAAACCAAACAAAAAACCCCAAAACCAGCCAACCAAAAAACCGAACAAAAAACCCCAAACCCAACCAACCAAAAAAACAAACAAAAAACCCCAAACCCAACCAACCAAACAAACGAACAAAAAACCAGAAAAAAATCTCCCAGTTGCTGTAAAACCAGAGGGAGTAATGGACTTAATGAAACAACATATACTACTTACTCTGGTGATGCTATTTTTCACAACTGCCTTATAAAGAATATTGCAGAGGAAGAAAAACAGTTTTTATTGCTATATTTGCAAGACAGAATGTAAATTCAGTTTGCAAAATGTTGTATTTTCAAGTTAGGTCTTCTAGAAAGAACTACATGAAAGGAAAAGGATAAATGAAAGATAAATTTGTACTGTGTAAGAATTTTTGTCAAATGCACAGTTCGTTCTTAAAAACTCTGCAGATGTTTGCTAAGTTTCATATTTTTCAATAGTGTTTAGCAGCTCTCACTGCTTCACCTTAAAACCTTTGTTCAACTTTACTTACCCACCATGCCCTGTCCAGGACACTCAGATTCCTCAGAAGACACGGAATGGAGTCTTGATGTGACGTGCACAGCTCTTGGACACACTTGAGACCTTCCAGCAGCTGTCATTCAGGAGAGAAACTTCCCATGGACCCCAGTGAGACAATCTTGGGTTATTGTGTGAATTTTACCTTGCATCCAGTTTCACAATTACTTCCTTAAAAACAAGAGTGATGAATTTTCACTTTGGGGATCCATGAATTCAAAGAGTAACTCAAATGCTAACAATAATGCTAAGAGCTTTGCCAGGCAGCACAGACTGAGTATCCCATGAGGAAGGAAAAAGGGGAAGACCAGCCCTTGAAATTCCCCTGCATCCCTTCCTCAGGCAAGAAGAATGGCCTGCAAAGTTCCAGCAGAAATATCCATCACGAGAAGCAGGACATTGTCTTCCCGGGTCCCGATCAGGAATGTGCATCAGCACTGGCACAAGGACTATGGAGCTGTGCTGGAGTTTGCTGCCCCAGTCTGCCTTCAGAGAACACGCTCTTCCCAAAGGAGCAAAATACTGGAGAGAGAGGTAATGCTGCTGATTGAACCTGTCCCATTCTTTTCTGAATTTTCAGCACTTCAGCTCAGTCAGACTTGCAAAATCCTTTCCCTTGCTAGATTGCTGGTGTTGTCTTGTAGCCCTGATGCACAGTGGTTTTGTTAAAGTGTGTCTTTCTTTTAAAGGAGCACAGAATCTCACATATATATTTCAAGTCCCATGCCAATTTGCTCAGAACATCTTTCATTGGATTGGGGAAGGGCATTACTCAATAAAATACAACCCATAAATGGAAGCAGTTTATTACAATGATCAAATTTAAAATATGGAAATAGCACAAGAGATTTCAAGATATAATGTTTGGATTTGGAACCATAAATTAACTGTTACAATTTTAGGGAGGAATCTAAGTCAATGACCATTTAGCAAGTATGAATTATTTGGAAAACTCAAAATTCCTCAAATAAAAGAGATGTCAATGAGTTTTGACTTGAGCTAATAGTAAACCAGTAAGTGCCATTTGATTTTATTTTTTTTAAGAATACAATGAATTATGCACATAATGGAAAAAAAATCCCTGTAGGATTTGAAAGCTGAAAACCTATGTTCCAGAAAGACCCCTGTACACAGCACCCTAAACCTCCAATTTCATGCTGATGTGTGTGGACTGTCCCGTATTTCCACTCTGGATTGCCTGTTCCTCCTCTGCTCTTTGCACTGAGACCAGCGCTTGTCTTGCCACAGCCTGGTCACACAAGCACTAGTGCAAAGGAGGAGATGGAGAAGGATGTGGCTGGAGCAGGGACAAATTCCCCTGTGAAACCAGAGCTTGAGTCATTGGACCCCATGACTTCTGGATGGAAAAAACCCAATCTAACCCAAAAACCACACTCCTTAAGCAGTTTAGGTATTCATGAATTTTTTACCCCATGTCTAAAATTTATACAACTACTCTAAAATATTAGCATATTACTCCTCTTGGCAGGATTCCTTCAGTGTAACACAATAGAAAAATATATTCCTAATTACCTTGCAACCTCGTTATAAAATCAATCTCCACAAGAATGAATGCAGCGGTACATCAGACCACACGAGTATAGAAATGTTCCTTCAGTTCAGCTTAGAAACTATTGCAGCAGGTTCATATCTGGTTTTGTATTCAGCTCCAAAATTGTCACTTTGATGCAAAAAGATTTGTCTAAGTGAGAGCTCATCGTGAGCACATATTATAAAGTTGGTTGTTTGAAAGACATCCAGAAGACTTGGAAATATATTTGCTTTACTGGGAAATAAATGTACCTAATAAAAAAAGTTCCTGCCTTACCTTACTCATAGTGCAATTGTAATTAGCACAAAGCACGCATAAGCATGTGCCAAACACCAATCACCTCCCTACAAGCCATTCCAGAGGGCTGGCTTTATTGGCAGGCTGCTGATGTGCACTGCTTTGCAGAATTAAAGACAAGCAATCAAATATTGTGTTGCACAAATGTAATTGCTACTACAGCAATCCTGGGTGTTATGGACAATGCCAATTCCTTGAGCTATGAGACCTCTTTGAACATGGTCGCTTTCAAACTATCTACTGAAAGAGTTTTAAAAAGATTTGTTGCCTTGGCACTAAGAGCAGAGCTGGCCCAAGTGAGCAGATGCTGCTGCAGAGCAGTGATTCTTGTTGTGAAGGGACTTTTCAGTGCCAATGGAAGATCTGCTGCAACAAACTGGATGTGGCTGTTTACACGGACGTGGAGCAAAGGAGAGAGTCAGGCCCGTCCTTTGTCATTTGTTTTACTGTCTGCAAAGTTCTTGTAGGGCTGTAAGTTCCTATAGATATATTTACAATTTCATTTTTCCCTTCTAGTTGTTTGCAACTCTGATTTAGGCATAAAAGTTAAGAGGAGGAGAAATGTTAGCTGACGACATATTCTGCTCTCAGTTGTGTTGTACAAGCATCAACACATCAATGATATTATTCCACACATCCATCACAAGACGTGGAAGAATGAAGCCATAGCACTCGACGTTCTGTTTAGTCACCATAATTCAAATACAACCTCATATGAACAAAAGATACATTTTACAGAGGAAAATGCCTTCTAAGAATAAGCAAAATTTTTTCTGAAAAATACCAAATGTGTGAAAACCATTGACTTTTCTGTTAAAAGTTGCCATTTTCTACACGGTATTTACTGTATCCCGGGCAGATGGAGCTCGTTAGCCCTTAAAGGCAATCCATCTACGTCCTGAGGACCTCGCTGCCACTGTCCAAGCTTGCTTGGCCCCGGCAGATGAACCTTAGGATTAAAGGGTGGGCTCAGTTCCGCGCACACTGTGTCTCACCTAAAAAATCCAATGCGCAGGCTGGAAGGTGTAAAGACCTTCCCCGGATCTTCGCTCGCGAAGACTGGCCATTATTTACTGTATAAGAAAAATAGTGTTAAATATCTTTATCTTCCCTGGATTGCAGCCAATTTTAATGACAAATTCTTGTCAACTCAGAAGGAAGCAGAAGGAAGACAGTTTCATGTCTTTATCAAGTTGAACCAAATTCAGGCCATAGTGTGGCAACAGAAGCCTGGTTTTAGCACTTCCACAGCTGTGACCTTTGCACACAAGGAATAAAGAGATTCATTACCAGAGAATATTCCACACAGAAGAAATCTCCACTCTCATAGTTAAGGCAACTTATGGTTAAAGTGACAGCTAGAAAGGGTAACATCAGACCAGAATTTCCACCATAAAGTACAGATCCAGAAAGTCACATCCTCAAGTCCCTTTGACTCCATTAACTCTCCAACTACTGCTAACACAGAAAGTGAACTTGCTGCTCTGAATGGCCATTATTTGTCAAACAGCCGAAATCCCCCAGAACGTGAGGTGATAAATGAATCTAATCAGCTGCACATATTCTACAAACATAATGATATTTTTTTTTAAGAAGAAAAAAAAAATTAAAGCTGCTTTTCCCAGTGAGCACAAATAGATGTTCAGTGAAGTGTATCATTTTAAAACAGGACTCCAGTGGGCTTCTTCAACTTCATATCGGTACTACATTTCTACAGATGATGGTGATGGCAGTGTTTGTATTAACAGAAAAATTTACATCCTAGGCATGACCAGATTTGTTATCTATTTCCCATCCTCTCCTGAGCACAGAACGTTCTTTGTATTTTAGTTATTTCTAAATATTCCACGTTTCATTCAAAATGTGCATTTTCCTTTACACACAAGCAAATTTTATAACTATTTGAGATCCATTTGGTTTTGCTCAGTGCTAAAATGCTATTAGTAATAAAAGTCAGAAGCAAGAAGAGAGAGAAGGGTTTAAATTTGATGTATGTAAAACAATACTAAAATTGATGCAACTGTTTAATGGTCAATCAAAGTTGTAAGATTTGGGATCACTGCCTAAATAAATGACTAACATCTAAAAATGAAGAGTTGATATTTTCTATGTCAAAACTATCTAGATGTAGCCAAATACATGGAAATCTATTAGTGAGGGAAGTGCGAATTGAAGCCAATAAATCTTATGGAAGGTATTTCTTCTGAAAATGAATTGTTAACAGTATACCATAATAAATACAAGAAGCCATTTCATGTCCATGCCACATATGTCCTGTTTCTTGGCTGTCATTGTGCATCTTCCTTTAGGCAAACAGGTTTCTCTAACACACCTTACAGGAGCACACTTTAGATATCCAGGGATGTGGCTTCGTGTCATCTGGAAAAGAAATGAATTCATCCGGCTTAGCAATTTTACAATTTGAATGAATAGCAAAGACTTTTTACTAAAATGTAAGTTATTTTACAACCTTTTCATAGAGTAGCACACCCTACGATTTTTGTAATGGAATAAAAACTCTCAGCACCCTCATGCTAGTGTTAAAAAAGATCTACCTCCAGAGGACTGATAACATTATAACAGGAAGCAATATGGGACCCAAAACAGCTCAAGAGAATGTATGGCATTCCTCAAAACTCTTCTCCTGAACAGTCTTCTGCTTCTTCCTTTTTTAATTTAAAGGAAAACACTCCAGTGGATTGACAGAAAGAGAATTTCTGCTGTGAAGTAATAGGGTGGTTATGTATTTTTTGGTAAATACAATTGTCAAATTAGATGTATTTTCTTTCAGCAGAAATAATCCTATAATGGCTGTAAACAGAAGCAGTAAGAAGTTCTGTTCATAAGGCATTATATTTTAATCCTGTCAGGGCTTTTTAGAATTCCACAGAAAAGCACTCTCAACTGTCAGTTTTAAACCTTTATGACTTCTTATTTGCTGTATGGCAAAATTTACAACCTGAATTTTAAATATTGCTTGCATTAGAAACTGCTCAAACACATGCCACACCTTTCATCAGTACATGAACATTGAGAAAGCACACACTACTTTTCCCAGTCTACATTTTTCTAAATTTTTCTAAAATTCCCAGTCTAAATTTTTCCTATTATCTATATCTTTCCATCAGTGTCATAGGAACAGAGATACACATTTTCTTAGTGTCTATCATGCAGTCTTCTAGTTTTACAGTTTGATTTATTAATAAAAAACCCCAAATCTAAAAGAAAACAAAAAAACCCCAAACCAACCCAAAACCCGTGAGTCATATTCTAGTAATCCAGAATACTGATGGGATGTGACACTACATCTACTGCAGTGAAATTATCATGAATTCAAACGTGTCTACATTGGAAATTCCAGAATTTCTCTCTGGAATAATTCCTAGGAACCAACATTTTATACACAGTCCCTGAGTACACTGGGCTCCCAGTGGCTGTGACCAGTGGGCTTTCCCTGCATTGCAGCCTCTTCCTGCTCCAGCCTCCCATTCCCAAGGCAGTCCTCATTTACTGCCACCTGCTTTTCATAAGGATGCAAACACAGAAAAAGAAAACCGTGCTTTTTTAGAGTGTTTTGTACTTGGAAACTTGAATATTTGCTTTTATATTCTGCCTGGTTCTGATAACAGCCACAGAGGTGACACAGTGCTGATTTAAATAACACTCTTCAGTGGATGGAACTTGGAGCTGGTAAGTGATTATTCGATAATTATAACTTGCCTGATAACAACACAGTCACACTTTTAGTGCTGTATTTTTAGGCACACTGTGGCTAATAAGAATCTGCTGTTCTTCATACATTTTCATTTCTATTTGCTGCAGTTCTGCCTCTCACAGATTGGGTTTCAGGGAAACTCAGAGATCCTACTCATCTCTATGCCAAGGTCTATCCAGGAAAAGCAATTAAGCAAGACTGCGAAAACTGCTCAGATTTTCCTTCTTATATGTTATGCTCCCAGAATTACATTCTGTCCTGAAAAGTGAAAAATTGAAGAGGGAAAAATTTAATATGTGCAATGTTTCTGGAATGAAGGGACCAGCTGACTCCAGCAGAGACTGCGTGGCTGCTGAAGGCCAGAAGCACATGGGGGTTTTACCATTTGGTTTCTATCCGAAAGATAGAAAACGCTCTGTACTTTCCATCTACAGCTTCCCATTCAATCTTCCATTAGGGAGGGTCATTTGCCCCCTATTACCAAGTGAACTAATTCACTTGGTAATATTTCCTACTCTTTCCTACTCCTTGCCTATTTCCTGCTCTACTGCAAAAATCTCTGACGGGGGAAATAAAGGGGAAGGGGCGTCTGTGTCTGCATTGTTTTATGCAACTTCAACTCAAATCCATTTCGCTTTTTCAGAAGAGCTGCACTTGCAGAATCCTCATTAGTGGGACTGCACCACATATGAAAGGTAAGACACCTAAAGTTGAGTCTAGTCCTGCTACAACCCTCTTAGATTATTACTGACAAAATTCAGAGCATTTTTAATCCCCTTAAAACCCATCTCAAGCAACTCCCTTTGGACAAGATGATCTGCCTCTGGAGGTGTAAGCCTTCCACCATTGTTTGTACAAGAAAACTCAGGTGAATAGCTCAGACCTAAAAGTCTCTTATACATCCAGATACTGTCACTTTCAGCCTCTTTCTCCGTTTCCTTAAATGAGGAACATTTGCCTGATAAAAGAGTAAACTGCTGGGAATATTTATTTATATAAAGAAGCACTCTAAGGAACAGTGAATTCTTTATGGGGGGTTCATATGATTAAAAGTCAAGTTCTACAAAAAGCTGTTGTAATTCTTATCTGATTATTATGTTCAAGGCCAGAGCAGAAACAAGTTTGAAAAGCCAAGGCTCTGCATGTCAAACAGAAGTATTCCTCAGCATGTGGGGGAAAATGGCAATGCTAAACCTACTATTAGGCATCTGGGAGAGAAGCCCAGCATCTCCTCTGAGATACAACAGGCACGAGCCACTATCACAGATAATGGCAGCCTGTAGGCACATGAGGGGAGCAACTAAAATCCATTTCACTTAGACAAGAAACTGTGGTCTGATATTTACCTGTGTCCATCACATGTGAAAAGTGTTTACTGTGAATTATCCAAGAGAAAAGTGCAGGTTGAGGGTTTCATTACCTATCTGAGAGTAGTTCAGATCACACACACTGAACACAAGAAATCACAGGCAAATCTTAGGTTGGTGTCTTGGGTAGTCAAATGGATTCCTGCTATTCATCTGAGTATATGCCTTTTCTACAATTGCTGGAGGCCCACATCCAGGGCAGTGAGAACATGTGAAGACACACAGAAAAAGTGAAAGTAAAACAGAGTAAGTTTTATGTGATTTCAGAAAATAAAGATCACTTTGAAAATAAAGCTCAGTCTAATGTCAAGGGTAGAGACTGCACCTTTCACCACTGAAAACCACAATGCACAGGCAGAAGCGTAATGGCTGCTCTACAGCTTTCCTGATTCTGGTAGAAGTTGTAGTAAAGAACCCTTTCTAGGAATGGTTGGAATTCCTTGCAGGTATACTGTCATATTTTCACCTTTTCCTCAACAAAAGGGATAATAAAATAAATATATTTCTTAACATCCCTTCTGCACCTGTGACAACATCTTGTAAGTGAAGTACAAGAGACTCTGAAAAACACATATATAAATTTATTAATAGAAACTTATAAATTAAGTTTTTAAGTCTGTCCAGACTTTGAATATGGGGAAGAGAGATTCTAAAGTCACAGGTTTCACCAAACCGAATGCTGACCTCCCAGGCATTCTCAGGTTCCATGATTCGAAGTCAAAGCACCTGAGAAAATCATAGCCAACTGAATGTCATATTATTGTTTCAATGTTTGCTACTAAAAGTAAATGTTAAGCTTTAAGTAAATGTATTGTGTTACCAAATCTTTCCTTTCAAACAAGCACTTCTGTCAGAAGTGTCTTAATTTCTTATCACAGAATTTCATCCGCACAAGGAGCAATAAATAATTCATGTTCCTGGCTCTTTGTTGTGTGTCCCTGAACTGCACAGAGCTGGAAGGCTGACAGCTGTGTCAGGACAAGCACCAAAGATCTGACATGACAAGTGACTAACAAGTTTCTTTCAGTCTATAGTGAAAGAAGACAATGGCATAAAGTGCAAAAACGAAATCCTGAAACAAAATGAAACTGTTTCTTTCTCTTTACCTAAGTGTTTGCTATGAGCTTATTTCCGACCCATAACCTCTGGTCATTTTATAGTACTGCCCAACCCCCTTTACTCCTCACATTCGCCTGGCCATTTACGCCTGTCCACGGATCAATATGAGCAATTCTTGGAGAAATACGATGTCTCCATGACAACCAAGCCACAAATTCTCAGTGGAAAGCAGTGAGACCAGTAGTGAAATCTCCTGAGGTTTTCAGACCTATAAGACAAGATGTCTTAAAATGCAGGAATGGACAGAAACAAAAGCCAGAGTAATTCATTGTTTATTACTAGTTTAATGATGTCAGATGGACCGATTGGAACTCAGTTTTTAAGTTTAGATGCTTTATCAACATGTATTTTTGCCAGTCAATATTCACCTCCTGACAGGCTTTTATTCTTTCCATTACTTCATATAGATATGCAGGATTGGATATACAAGTTTCCATCCAAACGGGTACACTTGGCCAAACAGAACCAATTTTAAGTTAAAATTAATGTTATCTTTAAGGTACATTAATTGTCCCCTGAACACTTTTGTGCCACTTTGCCTTAACACTTTCGCACTTCAGAACTGATCAAATCTTGAACAATCTGCATTTTGGCCCATAATTATTGCTGAAGGGACTAGAGACAGTTTCTGAAGGAGGTGCTATACACCACAGATCGTTGGAGGCAAACTTGGCTCCTTCCTGAGTAGATTATCTGTTTCTTTCCAGATCTCATGCTGGTTTCTGCTGGACAACATTGAGTCCGAGTCTATGTGGCTTTAAAATGAATAGAGATTTACAATTCATTGGTTTCAATTATTGTAACATATACTGGTGTTCATTTCTGTGGAAGAGATGAAAAGGGAATGCAGTTCAAATCAGGTATATGACAGCAGTTGAACTCCCAAGGAATCTTGGAAGAGTGGACTGTGCTGAAATATAATCCCCCAGACATGGGTCCTATCTGGGTTCTGAGATGACTTAGGGGACCTGACATGGATTTCAGACTGCACCCTTTGACTGAAAATTAAATCTCAGCAGTGTTCCTTGGGGAAGGATCAGGGGACTGTTGGCAGCTGCCCCCTGTCAGCACAGGCTGCAAGATTTGGAAATCTCTTAACTAAGCTGACAGGCCGCAGAGACGATGAATCAAAAATATGATACACGGATCAGCACACAAAGATGCAGCAGGGTACAGAGAAACCAGATAAAGCAGGGAAGGAAAATACCAAGTGAAGAAAGATGTTTAACTCTTTCACTAATGAGGACTAGGTACAGGTTATGTGTATGGTATATGTGGGTCAAGCTCACAGTTTTGCTTAAAAGATCTTAGTATTTAGTCGCACAGAATGTTTTTAATCAGCTGTGACTCGATACAATTTATATTTAATTGTTTCCTTTTGGGATTCATTTAATAAATTTCGTAGATGTTCCATAACGAGAAAGATAATGAAACTACATGAAGATAAATCTTTCGGTCACCAAAAAGGATGCACTTTATGGATGTTCCTGTATTTAGCTGAATCAATGTTAAGAGTCATTAAAATGAAATAATGATTGTGAGCTGATTTAAAGGAAAGAATCAAGCTATTTAATGCCACCAATTTGCTTTCCTCCAGAGATACAGCATTTGACTGTCCACGGCTACATTCAGCTGCAGTATATACAGTACTTCTAATTTTTCATAATCTCACGCTACCTTCAAAGGGTCAGACACCGTATATATATTAAGTAAGCAGCATAGTCCAAAAGTAATTATAATGAACTAGTAGTGTCAGCTTTCTTTTTGGTCATAAAGCCTTTATCCTTTCTAAGACCTGAATTCCTGATGAAAGAGGAAAGGATAACAGCTCCACACTGTGACCCCTGGAGGTGACCATTAATTTGACATTGCAGCTGCTAAAAAGGAAGCAGCGTTACAATGTGCTTTTTTTTTACAGACCCAAAAGCTGTGTCAGATTTATCACTTGATACTTGGTGACCGCCTTTAAATGCCTCTCACCTGGACTCTCAGACTCTTCCAAGACACATCTGTCAGGCGTATCCTCCACATCTTGGAAGTTTGCCGAGTTGGAGCTCTTGCCATGCTTCAGCACACTGACTGCAGCAATAAAGAATAAAAACACAGGGAGAGAGAAATGTAATGTATGCAGAAACCAACACTTCCTGATTTTCTGCAGAGAATGCAATGCTGAAGACAGACATAATTTGTAAACACAAATAATAGATTGAAAAAAAAAAAAACCAACCAGAAACTCAAACTACTTATATGCAACCTATAGGGCAGTTGAAAAATCTATAGACAAGAATTCATGCAGGGTGAGGTTTGAAGCATCAGCTCAAATGAGATTCCTTTGAAGTAGAAAACCAGCCTTTTTTTTCTTCTAGAATCCTAAAATAATAAAGTAATTTAGAAGTCATAAAAAAATGCTTGTCTGTTTCACCAAAGAAGCCAGCAAACAACAGAAAAGATCAATTAGGTGGTTTTGTAATTACTGAAGTCATTCACCAGGGAGAGCAATGGTGTTTGTTTTAAGATGAAAATATGTTGAATGCAACAAGCTGGAATGTGTAAGGAAATTAGTGATAATTCCAAAGTGCAGTAAAAACCAGACTGAGTTATGGTTTAGAGATTACCAAATTTAATCATATGTTCCTCTAATTGCTAAAACCATTTTCATTTCAGAGCAGAAAAAATATTTTCAGGGAAACAATTATTTGTCTATATATGACTTTTTAATTCACTTGGCTTTTGAACAAATCCCACATAGTTTTTCTGAGCAGAAGAGACGTATTTCCCTTGTCAGTGTCCATTTCCCAATCTTCTGCTTCATATCTCTGTATGGAGCCACAAATGCAGCTTAAAGATGAAGTACAATTATTAAACAATATATTATAGAATATCAAAGTAAAGACTAGATCCCAGATTTTCTGTCCCATTAGATGATCTTATTTCCCAGGACAAGAACAGTGACTAGAAAACACTGTAGTTTTTTCTAATATCTAGAAAACTAAGCAGGGTTCCAAGCTTCCATGTGGAAGTTTGGATATTAATGTGGGACACCATATTGCAATATTGCAATACCAGTGTACTTTTGTCCTCTTTTCAAAACAGGAATTTTCTTCCCTTCTAAATTTTGATGATTTTTTTTTTTTAACCAAACGGATATTTGCTGAAGGATCACATAATTTAAACATCTATTTAAATTTTCCAAAATTATGAGTGAATCAACAAGGCCTCAGGGCATCCTGCAGACATGAGGGCTCAAAAGACACATATTCCACTCCCGTGCACTGAGCTTTCCATGGGTTTGCAGCTATTGATCCCAGGTCACCAAAAGGTTCCATCATTCTTGACTCCTGCATCTACACAGAGCCTGTTTGAAGCACTCAAGGCTTCAATACAATTGTGGAATTAGATCCTTGAAAATGTAATATTAAAGCATAAAAAATAATGAAGTTTATTACAGTGACACCATGCATTTCATAAAAGCCAGTAAATTTTGCTTAAAAGGTCTGCCTTGCATAGCAACTAATCAGCACAAAAAACCCTGCCCAGGTAAAGCAGGAAGTGTTCACATGATAATCTGCATGAAGTGAGTTGACACTGAACAACAATTACAATAACAACAAGTGTTCTTTGTGCACGCATGAAAACACTGTGATATGTACAGGAAGAAATGTCTTCAAAGATATCTGTGCTTTTCTCTGATTTTCACAACACTGAAATAATTTTCAAATACACTAACTGAAGGTCAAGATTGCCACTTCAATAAAGACAAACTGGGATATACAAGTATACATATTATATTTTAAAAAAAAATTTTGTGTCAAATTTATTAGAACATGCTTTTTCTAAAATAGTTCTTTTAAAAGTCAGAACTACTCTGAAGTAGAGCAATAGGAAAATTTCCAAAAGAGTATCTTGTGATAAAAGAGAAAAAACAAAAAGTACAGCTCTCTCTGCAGAGAAAACAAAAAATCACAAGAGCTGTCTGTTTCGGTCACATAGCAGTGATCAAAAATTCAGAATCATCTTTTCAAAACTGTGTATTTTTACCCAATAAAGAACTCATAGTGAACCAGGGAGGGGAGATCCTTACCCAGCACTAGCACCAGTCCCAGGCAGGATCTGGCACTGCAGTTGCTCTCAAATGGCACTGGGACAAACCTGTTCAAGTGCTCTCCCCTGCCCAGACCATGTCAGCATAAGTCATATAATTTAAACTAAGCTGGTGGATATTACAACCAAGCAGCTCTGAGCAGTGTTTTTAGGGAAGGTATCAGATTCAGCTGAGAAGCAACTCAGAGCACAATGAATAAAACACAGCTAAAAGCAGGTCCATACACACAGATGCATCAGGAGGAAGGTGGGAAGAGAACACGAAAGAAACCAAGGCAGGACAGAAACCAAGACAGTACAGCAAGATCCTTGGACAAAGTCAGGAGGATTTCCAGTTGATATATCTGAGTAGAGATTGGAGAGATTTGGGGAAATCTGGGAGAGGATGAAGTCATTAAAAGCCAAGAAAGACAAAAATGAGGAAAAAGGGATGACAGATCACAGGCAGAGCTGATACAGCTGGAAGATGCCAGAAACACGAAACACTCACAGTAACAGCTGGAGTCAGGGAGTCATTAGGAACAGTTTAAAAGGAGTGGAAAGCATGGATGGAAAGGGTTTTCATGGGGACAGAGAGGAAGACTCTATATAGAACTTGTGTAAAAACTGTCAAGAGAACTTGTGTAAAAGCTCTCAGAGAAGGCAGTTCAGCTGGTGCAAGTGAAGGGAGGGAAGTACATGTTTCATAAAACTAGGAGACAGGCCAGGACAGACTTGGATCAAGTCACTAATGCAAGCAAGGGATCCATCTCAGCCCTGCCACTTAGAAATGCTCATACCTCTCTAGACAAAACTCAGGCAAATAAACTTCACAAGACCCTGGTTTATGAAGTTACATAATGAGTGTATGCAGTGAGCAAGAAAGGGACCAAGGCAGAGACCTTCAGATCTTTTTTTTTATAACATCACGTTATATGCTCAATTTGAAAAGGAAGGTTTCTTAAAAATATCATAAAAGAACAAAGGGAATTGAAAAGTTAAAAATAAGGAAAGTACAGTCTGGCCTAAATAAAGAGTGAAAGTAATAAATGGCATTATGTAATCAAGACAAAATACAAAAAAAGAATCTCAACACTAACACCTACTTCACTGCCTGTTCCCTCAGGGGAATAGGATTTTATGTATAAATACCAATAGGAGAAATATTGTTCTGAATTGCTTATACCAAGGATGTGGATGTAATTTAAGTTATTTAAACATAAACAGTGTGATCTTTATTCAGAAGATACTCTGTCCTACTTTGGGTTTAAATGGACCTTAAAATTACTTTTGCTTCCCTTTGGAAGCTAATCTCTGCAGCCAAAGTGACATAAATGGACTATAAATGAGCCCCAAATCTACAAGTCAGAGGAAAAGTCAAGAAACAACCATTTCTGATATTATAACGGCAATAACATATTTTTCTATTCAGTGCAATGTCATTTCAATTATTAGTCAGTAGAGATTACGTTTGTTAGCATGAAAGTAAGGTAAAAGGACATATTTCATTGAGGCAAATGACCTTGAACTTAGCATATAAAGATGACATAAATCTTCATTGTACAGGATCAATCTAGAGAATTGTGGTATTTTTTTCTGATGCATCTCATTAAGGTCTTAGGACTTGATTACTGAACTCGATACCCATTCTCTTAGAGTATTGAAACAGAAAAGGTCATTATCATAGGCATGGAATTTAGAGTAGTAAACGAATGTCATTTATGCATCTAGTTTGAAAATATTTCAAACAGCTTCACAAAATAAAACCAAATTATTTCCAGAAAGATAGCACAGACTGAGTGGTGATCAGCCTTTAAACAACAGTCTTTGTGTGAACAAACTGTTGAATGATAAGCTGCTCTTTGTGAATACAGATTAATCACTAAATACAGCCACAACTCATCACTGTTGTTTATTGCTACACGTTCAGTTGAAACTCTGAAAAGCCTTGTTCCACTCTGGAAATACCACACACTAAAGCCTAAATAACCTGCCCTGCATGCTTATTTTCAGAGGGCAGACACACTGGAGAAAGAAGTTTGCATAACACAGGTGAATAAACAAGTTAGCATTTTCTGACAAGAGGCCTGTCTTATTGATAAGGTGGATTAGTGACTTAAAGACAGTCAAAAAACCCCAAAAACTTATTTGTCATTCAAAACAGAAGTAGATAAGGTTAAAAAAAATATTTTTCATTCAAAAATATTAGGTAAGATAGGTTATAGGTGATAAATGTTTTTAAGGTCCAATATGGAACACAAAGGAACCTGAGCCTACATAAAAGATGCATGAAAACAAAGCTGTAAAGGGAAGCAAAATGCTAGTATTCTTTATTTTTGTAAGTGGATAAAACAATTGTGCTGCAATGTCAGTTTTGAGCTGTATGGCCTCTATAGGCACTCACCATATTATACCTAAGAAGCTTGATGGAACAATAAATGTCCTGAGTATTATTTTAAAAGCACATTTCATAGATATCATAAAAATATAATGAAAAGCATAAGAACAGCTGTATTTGCTGAGACTAAAAAACATCACTCTAAGAGTCCAACAACCGTAAGATTATACTTCAGCAGAAATTTCTCCTGAAGCCCAATTTAAAACTCAGGGAATTCCAAACAATTTCTTTCCTCCTCCTGTAATAACTCACAGTAGTTTTCTGTTCCACAAACTTCTCCAGTTTTCCCTTAAACACGTGGAATTTTTGCAGCCTTAACATCCTACACCCTAACTCACTTTAACCTGGCAAGCTCCAGAGTTTTACCACATAGGAATGCATTCCCTTTTATTTGTCTGCTCAGTCCCTCTTGGCTTACTGTGAGATTTATTTTAAGGCACAGATACAATCCCTGCACACTCTCCCCATGATCCTTGTGACTGAGGTCCTTTGTTTCATCTCTTTTCCATACTAAGGGTCACTATCCTACTTAGCTTTACCCACGTATTTTGATGCCCCCCTAAAAGGGTGATATTATTTCACTAATATTGCAAGAAATGCA